ACAAAACACCTCTAAAATTCACACCTAAAATACACGAAAAATATGAGTAATCTTTGCCATTGAGATAGAATTATTCTAGAATTACTAAGCATGGAAAAACATGCAGTCACTCATATCCTCCTTAACATATCAATTAAAGTCATTTTTACATAATAGAATGGGTTTTCTTATAATTCACAGGAAACTTTTTGAACTGTATAATAAGGAAGCACATGTGTCTGAGTTAAATGATTTTTCTGATATCAAAGTAAAACATACCCATGAATAGAAAATTTAGAGATAAAAACCCAGTGAAGTATTTTTAAAAAGGATATAGTTACAAATAATACCACCACTTAGAGATTATCGCGATAAAATTAAGGTTTTTTTTTTAAATAATTTATTTATTTATGAGAGAGAGAGAGTGAGTGAGAGAGCACAAGCAGGGGGAGAGGGAGATGCAGGCTCCCCACTCAGCATGGAGCCCGACACAGGGCTCATCCCCAGACCCCAGGATCATGACCTGAGCTGAAGGCACACGCTTAACTGACTCAGCCACCCAGGTGCCCTGGAAGGTATAGTTTCTTTGAAAATCAACACAATGGACTCTGTTCATAACCTTAAATGCTTTTGTTGCCCTTATCAGAATTCCTTTGATTTGGAATTTTGTGGGATGAACCATTCAAGGTACATGAAAGAAATAATTATGCCTCTTTCCCTCTATCCAGCTGCCCTTTATACATGGCCTGAAATTGTATTTCCCCCTGACCCCTCAAAGCCACTTTATAATATGGGTTCATCTCTTTTTCATTTTTCTTTGTTAACTCAGATCCTTACTAGACTTCTGGCACTCCAGGCTCTCCATTTATTACATTTCAGTATTTCTGTTCTTCCTTTTTCCCCCAGAAATAGGTGTCTTCATTCTCTTCATTCTCTTTCTATCTTTATCCCTCTCATTCTTTTTCATTGCCATTCTTAGTATACATTTCCGGCTTCTTTAGCCACAATGGAGCTGTCCTTAACAATTCTGAGCAGTATTTCTTAAGAGTGCAGGCAGGATTCCTGTAACAGGGTGGCACAAACAGCCTGAGAAGAAAGATGGTCACCCAGCCTGTTAGCCTATTAGTTCTCTGTTAGAGAGCTGTGATCAATACGGCATGTGGCCATCCTAGTCACAGTCATTGAACTAAGCATTGTTTGTAGCATAGAATCTCTTTGACTAGTTGTTCTTGTACAAGGAGACAAATCAACTATAAGCAGACTTGCTACTGGAAACAGACTTTTCTATAGGGATAACAGGGGTGACAGCAAAATTTCAGAATATAATCCAGCAATCCAGCTGTAGTACCAGACCAGGGTCATGTAGGCTCCCTGCTCATTCAGATTAACACTTTGGTCACTAGATCATGGGGAGGTCAGGAGGAGAGGAGGAGTCTGAATAGGGAATAAGAGTATCCAGGATGTCAGGGACAGCATAGGAAGTGCTTGGGACAGAGACTTTTGCCACCTAGTATTGTAGCATTTCAATAACAGTGTGGTTGAATTTTGCATATCAGGTCACTGTCAGCCTTCCAGGTGATAAGTTTGTCCTCACTCATATTCTATCTTCTTATCCTCCTAAGACCAAACACACACATATATCAGACAGATATCCCCATTTTACAATGAGGAAATTGAGACTCAGATAGGGCAGGCCACGAGAACCAGTGGTGAAGCTGAGATGTAAAGTCAGGACTGACTGACTCCAAAGACAAAGCCATTAGGACTAAAATCGTTACACAACATTATTCACTGATGTTCTTTAATATCTCTAAGGGATTGTGCAGATATTATTCAGTTCTTGCAGCAACCTTATAAAGTAGTGTGACCTTATCATCAGTTCCCTTTGCAGGTTTGGGAAACCTCAGGTTTAGAGAAGTGACAGTGAAAGAATGAAGAAGATCGGAAGCTCATTAAGTTGTAGAATCTGGATTCACATACTGTCCAGCTTTCTGATTATAGAACCCCTGTCTGCTACCATGACATGCTACCCTAAAGTCTGTAATTGTACATTTTCGAGAACACTGTCCCAACAATACTTGCTTGTTTCTGCAAAGATGGCTGTGGTAATACATGGCCAGTGGTCATGCATTTAGAGTTGTTCTTCCTGGCACTGGATTAGCACTCAGCCAGTTACCTTCTCCTACCTGTTTCTCCTTAAAATCAATGACAAGCATTTGATGGTCAATTAACTGGGATTAGAGGGCAGTCTGTGGCCATGCCATGGAACCACATTAATCCAAGTATGGGGAGTGATACTCTGACTTAGGCCCTGAAATCCATGTGTTTTATGTACCATTTATGTTAATTTGGAATTTCTTTTCTGGGAGTAGTGTTTTGACCTTGTATCAAATACTTTATTTAAATACAGACAAATAAATCCTTTATGTTGCCTGTATCCAATATCCTAGACTAGGTACAAATGTCACTTTTTCCCAGAAGCCTTCCTCACCTGCTCCAGGCAGAACCAGTTAGACTCTTTTCTGTGCCTAACACAATTTATTACTGTAGTCTACCTAAATTGTGCCACAATTATGTGTTTATGTTTCAGACTGACCCATAAGGACTATGACCTATTAATCTTTTTCTACCCATCAGCTCAGATTATGTGTGGCACATCGTGTCAACAAAACAACTGTTTACTTAATTAACTAATTAATACTCCCACTAAAAAATAAAGTATATGTTCACTAGTTTGGAAAGGAATTTGGAGATATCATTTATAGTGCTGGATATGATGGTAATATTTAGTCTGTTTTGGAACTCTGTATTTGGACAATGAAGGTTTAAAATTCTCATATATTATATAACATTTATAAATCTGTTTTACTCCTTTGTAAATATAATATTTTGTATTTAATTGAAAAAATTCCCTGGGGTAAAAATAGTATTCAACAACTTAATTAAAATTATACAGATATTTAAGATGGTGATATTGATGTGTGCTTGTGTGGCTCAGTCAGTTGAGCATCTGACTCTTGATTTTGGCTCAGGTCACGAACTCAGGGTCATGAGATCAACCCCTGCATCGGGCTCCTGCTTGGTGGGGAGTCCATTGAGATTCTTTCCTTCTCCCTCCCTCGCTGCCCCTCCCCTCCTCTCTCAAATAATAAATAAGTAAATCTTAAAAAAATAAAATAAAATGGTGATGTTGATCTGTACATATTTATATGGCAAATGTCTGTGATATATTATTGAGTAAAGAGATTAGGAAATAGCAATTAAGGTATGATCTTATTTTTGTAAAAAAATTTTACATAGTTATGGGAAAAAATCTAGAATAATAATATTTATATCCTTTCTTTATAATGAATGACTACAAAGTTCCAGGCATGGAATTAAGTGCCTTTATATGTTATTTTAATCCCCACAATAATTCCATTTAATCATTCATCATTAACTGATTCAGCATTCAGTGTATATTTCTTGTCCCAGGCACTGTGCTAAATATTAGATACAACTGTGAACCAGATGGACACAGTATCCAGTGCTTTATATATGATAAAACCTAACCCTACAGATGAAAATTAGAGAGGTTGTCCCACCCATCAGAGGTCCTCTGGGCCAGCTTCTGTTTTAACTAAGTAAACAGAGACTCACAAGGCTCCCTAGGCTCCAGGTGCCATCAGTCTATTCAGGTGGATACAGCACAGGAACTACAGTTTCCCAGGGCAGGGTTAGGTCTTCCTTCTGTGTGAGTTCTTCCTGCAGTTCTTGTGCAGTTCATACAGTCCTCCAGTGGCTCTTGTCTTTGGTCCCTCAGATGATGCCTCAAGGAGGTGAGATCCACACTAGGTGGGTGCAGGAGCCCCAATCCCCCAAGTAACGGTTCCACATGTATAGTGTTCAGGGTTCTCATAAGAATCACTACAACCATCAGGTATTCTGTTCATTACAGTTTGCTCCAATGTGAAGGAAGTTTTCAATCACGAGTCATTTCAATCATAAGCAATGCTACCTAGAAACACACTTAACGTTTTACTCCTAATAGATTATAAGGCAAACAGAACTAGAGAGTGTACCAAAGGATTCTCATATGGAAGGGGATAGGATTTTGTTAAGGAGGTATCCAGCAAGCAAGTGGCAGAATGGATTTGAACTTAAGTCTTTCTGACTCCAAAGTCTAGCTTCTACACTTTCCTGCCAGAGATACCAAAAATGATCTCTGGGAGGAGAGGTTTCAGACAACTTTTACTTTCTTCGTCATACTTTCTGAATTCTCAGACATTTATTTTGTAATGAGCATGAAGTTCTTTTGTAATCAGAAATAAATGTTTTTATTAAAAAGACTAACAACATGAAAACATGCTTTTGCTATAGCATTAAGTGAAAGTAGCCAGAAACAAATGATATATGCACTTGCATTGTGATTAGGATGATGTAAAAAGAGAGATGCATGAGGAAGAAGCTAAGCAAAAATATAAAGCAGTCCTAACAATAGTTGAGTCAGAATGGTTGGCTTGTGAAGGGCTTTATTTATTTATCTATTCATTTTTCTGTTTTCCAGATTTTCTATGAAATGCTTATGTTATTCTTGGAATAAAATGAAATGCATTTAGTAAAATAGAAAAGGAAATATATTTAGTTTATAAAATGTTTGAAATGTAAAAACGAGGCAAACATTATACAAGGTCATAGACTTACTTCTGTGTTTTGTTTTTTGTATAGGTGAATATACTTAAGTAAAATTTAATTATTTTAGGGGTTCAGAGTTCTTAAATTATTTCTAAACACACCCATGGACATAAGATGGGAAGCTGAATTAGAGAGCAGTTCTGTTCCATTCTTGATAGTCACCCATATAACTTGAAGAATTTGCCCAATGCTCTTGCTTTGTGTCCCCTCCCTCACACCACTATTTCAGAGTGTTACTGTAACTTCCCTAGGTCTGGGTTCACATGGGAATACCATCGCTAAACTCCTTTCACATGTTATTTATCTATAGTTATTTTAGTAAGGCTTACTTTTCTTTCAAAACTCACATTTTGGGCTTTATATGATCCTTCTTTAGCCAGGGACTCATATAATTGGATAGCTGCTGTTATGTTTTGCATGCCAAAATTTCCAAATAGCAAAGCATCAGCCATTTTCTCCATAGCTTTCAAGTTTCCCATGTCAGCTGCTTTGGCAAAGAACACGTAGGCTCTGTTTCAAAAATATGAAGGTAGAGGTTTATCAAAAATGTTTTTCTGCTCCCTCCTTCACACTACTTCTCTCTAACAAGTAGGACAAAGTTGTCATTGCTACTAATGACAGTTTAGCTGAAGTCCATCACATCTATAGATCAGTAGGGTGTTTTTCAGCCCTACATTATCTAAGATTATAATTTAAGATATATCTAACAAATAGTGAAGCTGCTGAAAAGGAGAAATATATAGGATACATCATGCTTCAAGCTTATTCACCAAGTGAAAAATTGAGTCACTTGTCCTAAAATAGTGAACTCTCCCATGGTCACCCACATTATATGATTTGTTTTACAAAATGAACTCTGAAATATATAACAATATAATCAAAAATAATCAAAACTGGAATGTCACATCTAGAAAGCTACTATCATGAAAACAACAGTCCCTTTGTATTCTGAAATAATTGTCTAAAACAGAACATATTCCTCAGCATGCAAAGTCAGACTGTGTCGAAAACCAATAACCAAATAAAACCCAATGGTTATTAGGGCTCTAAAGTCTTGACTGCCTGGTTCAAAATCTGGCTCCACCACTTACTAGTTTGAGAGCTTCAGGCAAGTTATTTAACTTCTTTGTGCCTCTTTCATCTATGGAGTGGGGATAACAATAGCACTTACTTCATAGGGTTGCTGGGAAGATTCAGTGAGATAATCCATGTGAAGGGCTTGGCATAGTACCTGGTACATAGCAAGCACTCAATAAATTTAGCTATTATTATTATTATTATTATTAGGACTACTGCATAAATTCTAAAGTTTTATAGCATGGTAATTGTTCTCCTGTAATTAGTGGGTAAATGGTGTGAAAATTTGGTGATTATAAATATAGATGCTATAGGATTGCCTTACATTGCATCTTCTGAATCCCGCTCAGAAATCACCTGGACCTGATCTGTATAACAAGTAGTGATGGAGAGTCTTGCAAGGTCAAAACCTGTGTCAGACAGAGAGTACTTTTGGGATTTATTTTTACTTTTATAACTTCCTTTTTGGTAGTGGTAAGAACAGAAAGCATTAACCTCTACTGGTAACCTTGACTCAAATACAGGAACAAATACACAAATCTACCATTGCTACTCAGAAGGATCAGGAGACTCAGCTTTATGTACCACCTATCTATGCTGATGCTAAAATAATTTGCTCTTGGTGGATGGAGCAGAATAGAATGGGCTCGGATTGAGTGTTACCACGTAGGCTTTAGGGTCCTGGATGGCAACACCGGGAGTAGACTCCAGCGGGACAATAGAAGACAGGTGGTCAAGCAAGCAAGCTAATATTCTAGGGACCAGAAGGCAAATGAGACAGAAGGTCTAAAGGTCAATGAATGCAAAAGTCTGGCACTCAGAGAGGCTTGACAACGGGACACAGACTCCCTGAAGTCATTCTGCCACATGGTTTGCTGCTGCAACCACATAGCCTGCTGGGATTAGAAGGGCACCCACATGGACCAGGGCAGAGAAATTCGAGATGGGCTGCAGGAGCCAGCAGTATATCCATTCACTGATCCCTGGGGGCAACAAAAGCTCACAAAACCAATCTGTCTAGGTGTTTTTAATTCTGAGGGAGGGGTGGATACCTCGGTCCCCTGTCAAGAAAGTCCGAGGTGATATAAAGAATACTAGAAGCAGGACCCAGGGCTGAAGAAAGCTGTTGGTAAATTAGGTAGGATTGAGATCTGGGTTATAATCCCCAAGAGGGAAAAAGTAGGAGAAACTGGGCAACATTAGCAGTTCCCCAAAAGAAAGTTCAGTTAGATATCTGGATAACTTCTAAAGAACCTTGTACTGGATGCTAAGGTAGGTGCTGGGGAAGGAGGAGAATATTGGCATCTCTAGGATTCATCAGAAACTTGGTGTAGGGCAGCAGCTTATCTCCAAATCTTCTTTGCTGATGGGGAGTAATTCTTAATGACAGCTAACCCTGGTTGTCTCTGAGGCTTGACTCCTGTAGACAAGTCTGTGTCTCCCTGACACATACTTGCTTAACATCTGTACTTCTAACAGCACTGATTTGTTAAACAATTTATAGCTGAATGAGTGAATGAATAAACGGATGGATGAATGAATGAATTGGGTCAAGATGTCGATGTGGATGAGCCAAAAGGACTAGCAGCCTCTGTTTTGTACCAGAAGTGGTGGAGCAAGGAGGACAGAGGATTGAGGAATGAATGGGAGAGAAATGATTCCTCTGTGGTCAGTAGGCTGTTCATTTTTCTTTCGCCTGTCCAAAATCTTTGAGATGGCTAGACCTGGATGTAACTGACTTAAGAGAAGAGCAGACCATCCTGATATTTGGAGGAATTTCATTCAGCTTTCCCACAAATTCCTGAAATCTCTTGTTATGAGCAGATTTGGTTTCAGTCCTCTATTAACTCAGAAGGGTCAGGGGACTCAGCTTTATGCATCCTCTCATGTACCTATGCTGCTGCAAAAATAAGCTGCTTTTGGGGCACTTGGCTGACTCAGTTGGTGGAGCATGTGACTCTTGATCTTGGGGTTGTGAGTTCAAGCCCCATGTTGGGTGTAGAGATTACTTAAAAATAAAATCTTAAAAAAAAAAGCTGCTTTTCTGGCACTCTTGGGCAAGGACAGGCTGGGCAAGAATAGCCTGAGATTGAATGACACCTAGGTGTCATGAAGCCACCTTCACTGCTGGGTAATCTGCTTTCAGGGCTGGGTTTTCTCCCCATGCTTTAAGCCAAAGAGGAAAGTACCCATCCAGGTTAAGAGGATAGTTACTTGGGAGCTTCCAAGAGTGATTTTGTCCCATCGGACTGAATCTAGGGTTTCCTTGAATTTAACAGGGCATACCCAGTGAGCCCCTCATTTTGTGTTCACCTGCTATTGACAGAGCTAATCTGAAACCTCAGGGACCAGCCCCTTTACAGAATTCCATTGTTCTTTTATCTAGCTGGGCTGGGTTGAGATTTCTCTATTCTTACTCATGTACTCAGTGAGCTTCTGAGTGAGCAGACTTCCCTATCAGGCTGGATTATATTTTGGGGGTCTGATTTAACCCCATCCGCATCATGACAGCCCCCAGAGATGCTCAGCATGAGACCCAGGTTTTGCAAGGGATGGTTTCCTCTGCTCTTATAAGGAGCTTCTAATTTAACTTCCCCTAGAGAGATGACCGACTACTTTACTTCCTTCTTCTTGTCACTTTGGAAGACTTATAGAATATTTTTCAACTTCCATTTCCTCCTCTGTAATTTGGGGATAACAATTTATGAGTCACAATATCCATTGTGAGCAATGAATGCTATTCCACACAAAAATGCCCAGAAAAATAAGTAGCACGAAGAAGGAGCTTAATAAATGGAAGTTCTTCAGAGTTGAATGCCCCTTTATTCTCTACACTTGTATGCTCTTCTGGGAAGCTTTGAGCTTTAAGAAAGAATTCAGGGACTCTGCTGCTGCCCTGTCTAGGAATGGTTACCACAGCACTGGGATGCTTCCCCCAGAGTTGCTATGCCTAATCTGTGTGCAAACAAAAGATGTCTCCTTGTTGGAGGTCCAGAGACTGTTCTTTTTATTATTGCTTTAAGACACACTTGTTTTCTTCTCTCCCATACCTTCTGCTTACCATTTAGAGGACTAGAGATAAAGGTAACAAATGCTTATCTTCTGCTTACTATGCGTTGGGCATTGTTTTTTTTTTTTTTTAAAAAAGATTTGATTTATTTATTTGAGAGAGAGAGAATGAGAGATAGAGAGTATGAGAGGGAAGAGGGTCAGAGGGAGAAGCAGACTCCCCACTGAGCAGGGAGCCTGATGTGGGACTCGATCCCAGGACTCCAGGATCATGACCTGAACCGAAGGCAGTTGCTTAACCAACTGAGCCACCCAGGCGCCCGCATTGGGCATTGTTCTAAGAGCCTAACTGTACTATGCAGAACGCAAGCAGGTTAAGTAACTTGCCCAGAGATAACACAGCCAATGATTAGGATTTGACCTCAATGAGGTTTTAATGGAGACTTGAGGGGTGACCTCATGTTGTGTCCCTCTACTGGGGGACAAGATATTTCTGCCTCCCCTTTAGACAAAGTAGACAAGTGAAAAGAGAAATGATGAACATGGAGTGAGACCATGTGGCCACAGCTTGGTTACTTCCCAGCTGTGTATTTGTGATCACCTCACTTTAACATCCTTGAATCTCTGTTCCCAACTGTTTAAAGGGGGGAAATGAAGCTCTTCTTAATTCATAAGGCTGTTCTGGGGATAAGATGGAATCACGGGGGCGGAGCAAGATGGCGGAGGAGTAGGAGACCTAGATTTCGTCTGGTCTCAGGAATTCAGCTGAATAGGGATCCAACCATTCTGAACACCTACGAACTCAACAGGAGATCAAAGAGGAGAGTAGCAACAACTCTCTGAACAGAGAAGCGACCACTTACTAGAAGGTAGGACGTGCGGAGAAGTGAATCCGAGGCGATATTCCGGGAGGATAGACGGCGGGGGAGGAGCCTCCGCTGGCCGCTTCTGGCAAGTGATAGAGCCGCGGAGCACAAAATCGGAACTTTTAGAAGTCGGCTCCGCGGAGGGACGTCGCTCCAGTGGCTAAGCGGGGCTGGAACCCTCGCGGGACAGTGTGGTCTCAGGACCCTCGGGGTCACAGAAAGACCGGGGGAGCCTGAGTGCGCCAGAGCTCCCAGGTATCGGAGCAGGGAAGCCGGCTGCAGAGACGGAGCTGAGGCGCGGGCTCTCAGCTCGGGGTTGCCATAAACTGTGATCTGCGGCCCAGTCGGGCCACTGCTCCTGCAGCAGGGACCCCACAGGCGGCAGATCCGGGGAGCCTCCCCTTCCTTCCCGGGGAGGAGCAGCGCGGGAACGCACCGCAGGGATCTGCTGGGTTTGGAGACTCCACACGGGGTTGGGTGCCAGAGATACAAACGCTCGGTCACAGGCCAGGTGAGCACGGAGTGCGGCCGGAGACCGGGGACACGGGAGTGACTGCT